TCTCTCTCTCTCTCTCTCTCTCTCTCTCTCTCTCTCTCTCTCTCTCTGTGTGTGTGTGAGAGAGAGATGGATGGATGCATAAATGGATGGATGGAGGGAGGGAGGGAGGGTGGATGATTAGATAGATGGATATTTGGATGGATAGATGGATGGTTGGATGGGTGGATGGACAGATGGATGATGGATGAGTGGGTAGGTATATGTATATATGTATGTATATATGGGTGGTTGAACTGATAGATAAATGGATGGATAGAGATGTTGTAAGGGTTGCATGTGTATCACAGCTCACATGTGGAAGTCAGGGGACAATATCCATGCCTTTACGTGGGTTCCAGCGATGGAGCTCAGGCCACCAGGCTTGTGTAGCAAGCACCTTTCCCCACTGAACCATCTCACTGGTCCATTTCTTTCCTTTTAAAAGCCCTCTCTCTTTCCTGCCCTATATATTGACTTTCTGAAACCTGGAATGTCTCACGGTTCCGTGCTAGCATCCTTCTACCATCTCTGAGGTCAGACAGCTACTCAGAGCTCTCCACGGCCCAGTGTTTTCCTCCTCCCACTGCTGGCCACCTCCCTCTGAGTCTCAGGGACACTGCAGCCTCATGTTTTCCACGGCAGACCTGTCCCTTGTCCTTAAGTTCATCTGCACGTCTTCCTGCTGTGTTTTTGGTCTTGGCAGATGGGACTCCATGCCTCCAGCTGCCACACCACCAATGCAGAAATCCCTCAGCCTTTCTCTCCAGTCTTTTTTTGTGCTTCATTGCTGATGGAGAACTGTCCTATCTGCCATCTTGCTATCCTCTCTCTCCTCCACGCTCATGACTGCTTCTCCATATCCCTGAACAACGGGTAGGACCAACTCTTAATGCCCCCCCCCAGCCTTTTGGCCCTTTAGGATCAAAGAAAATAATCATGTGATTTTATTACTTTCAAACTTGTAGAAGTTTATTTTGTGGCCCCAAATTTGATGGGCTTTGGCCAGCATTGCAAATATGTCTGAGAGGACAGTCTTCTGTTGGGTGGGGGTCTGTCTGTGGTGTTTCTTATCTCTCTCTTATCTATCTCAGTGTAATTCTTTGAAAACTCAGTCACGGCTCTGTATATGCCAACCATTTGTTTCTTTCTGAGTGGCAACCTCTGGCGTTGTGGACTGGAGTTTTCTCTCTCTCTCCTGCAGACACCTTGTTTTCGGGTTTTAGCTATGACTGTGGCTGATATCAATGCTGGCTTTGTCAGCACAAGTCTCCATGCCTTTGGAGTATTTAGGATATTCTCAGTTGTGCAGCCACTGCCACTGTCAACTTCAGAACACTTTTATCACTTTGCAAACAAGCCACACAACCTTTTAGCTATGCCTATCCCACACCCAGTCTCCACCAGCCTCAAGCAACTGAGTGCATACTTTCTATCTCTATGAATAGTCTTTGCTTGTTCTAGAAATTTCCTACTAAAAGTAATATATGGTAATAAAATATGGCCCTTTGTTGGTATTTACTCTAGGCTCCGCCCCACAGTTACCTGGCAACAGCCAGGTGTGCCTGACTCAGTATAAGAGGGGCTGCCTGTCCCCTCCACTCTCTCTTGCCCTCTTGCTCTTGCTTTCTGTCCTCTTGCTCCCTCTCCTTACCTTCTCTCTCCCCGTTCCCCTACTCCCCCTCCATGAGCCCATGGCTGGCCTCAACTTCTCTCCTCCTCCTCCTCCTCCTCCTCCTCCTCCTCCTCCTCCTTCTCTTCCTCCTCCTCCTCCTTTTCTTCTTCTTCCTCCTCCTCCTCTTTCTCTTCCTCCTCCTCCTTCTTCTCTCCCTCCTCCTCCTCTTCTTCTTCCTCTCTCTCTCTCTCTCTCTCTCTCTCTCTCTCTCTCTCTCTGCCTTTCTCTGTCTCTACTACCCTCTCAACTCCCTTTCCCATGCCCTGAATAAACTCTATTCTATGCTATACCATCGTGTGGCTGGTCCCTCAAAGGGGGAAGAGATGTCTCAGCATGGGCTTGCAGAGACACCCCCTTCCACCTCACCATACCACACCTCCACCAAACATATCTCTGTTCTCTCCTATCTTTTTATAAAACACAACACCCTTTGACTAGCTTTTTGCTTAGCACTCTAAGGTCTAAGGTCACCCTTACTGTAGCAGGCATCATTAGTTTATTGCTCTTTATGGCTGAATGCTCCACTCTGTGGATATACACTTTTTACCCCTTTATCTCTAGATGGGCATTTGGATTGTTTGTTTGGTGGTGGTAACGAGCTGTGCTGCTGTGCACATCTGCACACTAACTCTGGGAGGTGCTTCCAGTTGTCTTGGGTGTGTACCTAGGAGCAGAATTCCTGGGTCAAATGGTAATTCTGTGTTTAACTCTTAGAGTATGTGGCGGTCTGCTTGTCAAAGCGGCTGCACAAGTTTATGTCTCTGCAGATATGTCTGAAGGCCCTGCTTTCTCCTCAGCTGTGCCAGCACTTGGTCATAAACTGACTTTAAGAACCGTAGCCATCCTAACATATGTGCAGTGGTATCTCATGGGTTTCTATATTTCAGCCTCCTTGTTCCTCCTCCTTCTCTTCCTCCTCCTCCCCTTCTTCTCTTCCCCTTCCCACAACCTCTCCCCTTCCCTTCCTTCCCCTTCTTCCCTCTCCCCCACTCCCTCCCCCCCTCCCTCCCTCCCTCTCCTCCTCCTCTTCCACCTCTTCCTCCATGTGCTTCATGTTGGAAACTCAGGACTAGTGTCAGAGTTTTACACCACACATTCACAGATCACAGCTCAGCCAAACACTTTAGGGTGCCCTCATGGTGTTCTGCCCACAAACTCTAAGCTCACCTTCATACTTTGTCTTTCCTCTCATGTCAGCAGGGTCTTTGTCTTCTTTTGGGTTGGTTTTTCTCCTACCCTGGGGTATGTACAGACACTCTGTGGCAGGGTAACTGTGGGGCTCACTCTTCTATTCCCTAACTCTGCAGCATTATCTGTTAGAGCATCTGAAAACAGCTATTGCTACTTTGTTCTTCGTAGGTGCTGTGAGACTAATATTCCTGTGTAAATCAGACTGCGTCGTCATCTAGCCTCCCCAATCTCTCAGGGGAGTCCACTGTCCTCAGGATGAAGT